TATTTTGGGGAAATTCTACAAACACCGATATGGTATTTAAAATGCAAAAGCGCTGCATTCGGACTATGTTTAGGATCAAAACTACGGACAGCTGTCAGCCACTGTTTAAGAAATACCATATACTAACACTTCCGTCACTATATGTACTAGAAATAGCTTTATTTGTACGAAATAACCCTCAATGGTTTCCGCTCTTATCAGATAAAGTTGTTAGAAATAGACGCATGAAATATAAGCACTATTTACGACTTCACTCAGCGAAAACCACTCTACTTCATAAAAGTGTATTTTGTATGGCACCGATAATTTACAATAAAATTCCAGAAAATTTAAAAGCCATATGTAATAATAATATATTTAAAAAAGAGCTAAAAAAATTACTTTTAAAAAATTGTTACTATAGTGTTAAGGACTTTATAAATGATACTTTATAATTTCATTGTTTCATAGATTTTTGTTTTGGTTAATTTCTTCTGATAATCTTTAGTACCTAGTTTTGAAAATATTTTGTACGCCAATTGGGGCAAGACATGTTGAAACTAAGCAAGCTATTTATGTAAGACCATCTACGTTTGCATTTATGTATAATGTTACACATGTTTACGCAAATAAATATATCTTTATCTTTATCTTTATCTTAATATTTTACGAATAAGTAGATAGAAGGATACAGATAAGGATAGAAAGACGGAATAAAAGTTGAAATAGTTACTGATAGTATGAATCACCATAGAGACTTCGTTTGCCCCTAAGAAGACAATTGAAATGAAGATGTTTTAAATGAAATAATTATGAGAGTAGCGAAGAATGCATTAAAAGCACGTCATGATAGTTATCAATAAATATAAAAAACTAACAAAGTCATTTTATGACAATTTACAATAACGCAAACTGTAGCAATACAACAGTATATTCAGTAAGTAGTAACATCAGCCCCTGCTGTAACGCAGCGTCCACGTGGAACATGCCGTACAGACTCATCTTGCTGAATGTAGCTCGGTGCAAGCGTAGCATGTTCTTATGAAGCCTTTTTTCTGCATCTGCGAAGAAAACAGCAACCACTTTGAAAACGGTCTCTTTCATCTTTTACCTAAGTAGATTAGGGTCGTCAGTAAATCTAATTCAATTTACAGATTAGACCATTCGTTGGTCTATCGGTCTAATTAGGCCTTCATTGGTCTTTGGCTTTTATTGGACTATTTATTGCCACGAGGCCTTTCTCGTATAGGTATAAGAGAAATATGAGAGTCAGAAACCTTTCCAAGAGTTAACCATAGCTGTCTTTAAGACAATTCATGTTTGTCTACCATATGAAACATGTTCGATTCATCTCTAGCTTCGTAACTAGCTTCTGTCAGCGATTTCTCCCGCAATCCTTAAGTGTGGGAGAGCCATGCTTCGGCACGAATGGGCCCGCTCGACCGGAGTGATACCACGGCCTCACAGAAAACCGACGTGAAGCAACGTGAGGCCCAATTACCCTCACCTTCCCAAATCTCCCCAATTCCTGAATCCCCAACGATTCTCAAACGCATAATCCTAAAAAGGACGGTAACGCACTTGTAACGCCTCTGGTGTTCCAGGTGTCCATGGGCGACGCCGATTGCTTACCACCAGGCGATCCGTCTGCTAGTTTACTGACTTATACCATAAAAAATCCCGTGGGACAAAATGTAGCCTATGTGTTTTCCAGACCACGATCTACCCCTGTCTGCACCAAATTTCATACCGATCCCTTTAACCATTTTGACCTGAAGTAGTAACAAACATACAAACGTTCGCATTTATATTATTAGTAGGATACTAATTGTAAAGTAGCTCACCAGATTCTGTTGTCATCAATATAAGTGTACAGGTGTCCTGAACATTTCGAACCGCTATGTAAAACATTTCGTATTGATATATCAAACACGTTAACAAGGCAATATTTTTCAATAACCATGCAAACAATAACATTAATATAACTAAAAGTCTTCCGTCCTGTAACAAAAATAAACTGATAATGTTTGTTCATATACAAAACAAAAGTGAAGTTAGAAAATTGAAATTCATCAAATTCTGGGCAAGTGACAGTGGGCAAAACACACCCAGCTCCGCCACGGCTCGGACTACTTTAGTTTGAAAAGTATCAGAGCCATGGTTCACTGTGCCAAAGCTTGTCAAACTATTTTTTTTTAAACGTTGCCCCACACTAGGGTTTTCTCCTGTAACGTGGGTGCGTTTACAAACATACAAATTCACATACACAATGACACCCAGACCCGAAACAACAATTTGTTGATCACACAAAGTGTTGTCCCGTGCGGGAATCGAACCCGCGACACGTGGCACGGCAGCCAGTTACCCAGCCACCGCACCAACGGTAGTGACTACTATGTCCCGGGTTTCTCTGTATATTGTCATGCTTTTGTTCGGATGGGCTGTGAGTTGCTTACATGTATGGGCGACGCACGCACGTCTACCACAGATAAGGCTACACATACAGAGAACCCCGGACAGAATCTGATGAATTTTGGCACAAAGGAAACCATGGCTGTGATACCTTTCACACAGAAATAGTCTGAGCCGGGGCGGAACTGGGTGCGTCGCCCATACATTGTTGCCCACCATCCATAGCTTTAATGCTAGCATAGCCAACTTTAAGTAACACTCACATATTCTCTGTATAGAAGATAGAAAACTGCGTAGATGAACATTTCAATGTAAATAAGAGTATGCACCAAAACTTCTGATGTGTAATATACTATCTGCAAAACAGGATAAAATGGAAAACAATACTTTCACCAGAATCAATACTAGACGTAAAAATAAATCAAGAACGGGTCTGTAAATAAAGAAAATTGTATAGAATTAGAATAAAGTTACCAACAAAAGTAAATTGTATTAAAAACTTACAAATGCCCGATAGCAGACGTTATGAATGTTATAACACTCCAATATATCAACGTATGTCTGAAACAATTTCTTCCAGTATTCTCCCCGATGCCTACATTCCAGATCCCCACCGTATTTAGCTTGAATATTCCACAAATCAACTTTGTTCCTCAAGAACTTGATGACTTGTATTGTACAAATCAAATTGAAATCGAAAAATGACATTGTGAAATCAGAAATAGTGAATTTGATGGGCACATACATACATAAGGAGAAAGTAATGTGGTAAATGATATTGGGTATTACCACGAGTGACACAACGAGCCAGTTCCAGACGATAGTGTGCTTGGTATTGGTTTTATTATTAAGGAACCTGTGTACTTCTTGAAAGATTATAACGAATCTAATAGATTTTTTACTTTGAACAATCCCAATCACAAAATTCTAGACAATACCAAAAGAATAGATGATGCTGTCGTACACAGTCATGAACAAAAGTAAACTAATTCCTTCGGTATTTTTTGGACCAAAGTAATTAGTTGCATACAAGCTGTATGCGAATGTAACTATGAACACTATATTAATAATCAGAGACACAACGCCAGTTATGAAACTATTTGGTATTATAAAATCATTTTTGATGCGGTATTTTGGACAGAACATCAAATATTGCATCAAGTTTAGTGGAAGAAGCATTGCTCGCACATCTTTATCTACTGTATTCATAAAAACGACTTTAACAGACAATGTTTGTGGAGTATTTTGAAACACCTCCATTTTCATACAGGCGTGGCCTACAACTGACCTAATTGGTTAAGCGATTCCTAATGACTACAACTTACTAATAAATTGTAACAATAAATCGATAAAGACTGAATAAATTATTACCATAACCAAATGTAATGATCGGAGAATGGTTCCAAATAAGTGTATACAAATATTACATAAAATATATCATTAAGTACACTCCGAAACTACTACGCCGACTTGAAAATGTTCAATCAGGCTTTTTGTAATACAAATAGCTTGTGAATTCTTAACTACGTTTGTCTGGTATCCGTATTCATTATGCAAATAGTAAAAATGGCTACTCTACAAGCCACGGTTGATATATTAATTAGATGTAGGTGAAAAACAATAATTATTTTATAAAATACGTTAAAAAAACCGGCTTCAACCCCCTCTGTTTTGAAGTCAGTAAAATATACTAAAACGTTCTCATAAGTGTAACACTTTTTTAAAATCGCATCATAATCGGTTGATCCAATCGCGAGATACTTGCGCTCAAACAAACATACATACATCTCAAATTGAGAAACTTCTTTATTTGAAGTCGGTTAGTACATAAACAGTTTGATTTTTGGCAGAAGTCAATTTAGATGAAATACTCCAAAATTATACACACGAGAGATTACAAAACTTGAGGTCGGAATAATAAAACAACTTAATTATAGAGTAGGTACATTTGCAATAACAACACACACTTTAATATTTACAAATAACCTACAATTTTATTAATTAATAATTTCAACTTAAAATTATTATCTTGGCTTCAAACTAGAAAGTAATTAAATGTACATTGTCAAAACATCACCTAATTATTTTAACTCGGAATAAATAAAAAGGGCATGAACTCTTGACATTACTTAAGGTGGTGTTCGATTCAAAATCTAGATGGCGCTTAATGAAAGAAATTTAATTGAAACGTTACCTCTCTTAGTATGACCATACTAAGAGAGGTAACGTTTTATTATCTTTTTTTATTATATTTATTAGAGATGATAATCATGTAGCAAACCGAATATAAGTTCGCATAATATTTAACATTTTATTACATTTAAAATTTATCATTTTACAGTGAAGTCGAAATTCAATTAAAGATAACTTACTTCCAATTTGAAATCGTTTGAGGTTAAATTCAGAAATGGACGTCCTGTGGCTGATATTATGATAAATTCTACAGTTTGGGATGCTGTACACATTGGCTACACGAAACCAGTTTATCGTGATCTTGCTTTGTATGATGTCTCCGCACATTCGACGGTCAGCTTATGAATACCTTGATCTGTTTAATACTGACTTACAGGAGCTGGTTGAGTCTAACCATTAAGTTCGTAATAGATAAACAAAGAAATTATGAATTCGTAGTCTCAGTAGTAGACGTCGCATTATAAAATAGAGCTTCAGTTAAATTCTTTTTCAAAGAATCTTCTTCATCACTATAACTTGAAGCCTCTACGATTCTCTTCAAATATGTATTTGTAATTTTACTAACAACTTTTACAGGCTTAGGCTTCGACTGTCTAAAATACTCGTCGAAATGGTAGTAATAATCCTGTAATTTTTTTAAATCAATAGTTTGCTTAGGGTGTCGCTGTTGTCGTTTTTCGTCAGTTCTTTGATGGACTTCGTTTTCTTCTGTATCAAAATAGTCTTTTTGTTCATGGAAGTAAGGAAATGGTGTATTTACATACAGAGGTGTGATTGTTACAGATTGATCTTTAGTTGGTCTGCGATGTAGATTCAATGTGTAATATTTTGTAGTTCTCTCACGGGTTGGTTTTAAGTGATTTTTCGAAGATACTATTTTGTAACGCATCTGTGTTTTTGTAATACTTCTAAACTTTAAATATTCATTAGCGTTATTCTTCATTTGTCGTCTATTTAACTTGTGTCTATTTCGATTTCTTGCCTCTTTTCTTAAATTGAGTTCTCGAATTCTTCGCTGTTTACGTTTTAATCGAAGTTTTCTCCTAATTTCGCTATCCGAGTCTGAAGTTGATATACATGGTTCGTCGGACGTTAAGATCGTTCGGAATTTCGGCCAATGCTGCGACTCTTTTGCTAATAAAATGATTTGAGAAAAAAATTGTATTTATACCATCTGTTGGGTTATTTAGGAACTATTTTCATAAGTGCTCACCTTTTATTCCGTGCTTTAAATCCTTCTCTTTGACAGTTTTCACTGAGATTTGTGGAAATCTATCCTTTATTGCTTTATTGATAGAGTCTAATAATATTTGTCGTCGTTTTGTGCCGTGGAGGCGACGAAATGGACTTAAGAAGTTTTCAATCAGAGTGGAGCAAACTAAGTAACCAGATTTCGATACTGAAAACATGAAAAACGGATATTAAACTGAATTGAAAGGTAGTTAACGGCTTCCCTAATGATTAGACTTACTTTCAGGAAATGCCTCGAATTCTCTCAGAGAATTGAACAGGTAGTCTCCCTCTTTATCCTCGTACATAAGTTCTGCATAATCTATGATTGAATTCACTTCGACGGAGAGTTCTGTCTTCCTCACACGTAGCATGTGGTACATCATGGCTGCGTAAGCTGGTGGAAGGAGAGGATCCATAAATATTAGATCCTCACAGAAAAGTGGTGTGAAGTACTTGCGTTTTTTCGTCATGTGAGGTTACTGGAGACCGAATTACTTCTCACCCTGATTTTCCCAATCTCCGAATCCCCAATAATTTTTAACCTTTACAATGTCTGTAATGCATTTCTAACATCTTTGGTGTTTGGGATGTCCATAGGTTGCTCCGAATGCTTACCATCAGGTGGTTCGCCAGCTCGTTTGCCGGCCAATTCCGAAAAGAAAATAAAATGGTGATGAAGCTTAGCTGCTATATGTAAACATTCAAGTGTTGACTCGACCGAAGATGACTCCTTACCATCGGGCTAATTACTTTATTGCTAAGAATGTTTAAAAAATGCTCAAAGATTAAAACCTGGCTGGTAGAAACATTTGCAAAAATGTTTTACGCTAATGTCGTTTTACGTTTATAACGTCTAGCGCTCTGATTGGCAGTCCCAAGTTAACCAACCATTCAGAGGGCAAAACACAGTACCGTTTCGATAAAAAAAAACTTGCACTCGTCACTCAGAAGTATTTTAACTTACTTCTTACTAGATCGATTGGTGCTTCGGATATAAGTCTTGACAGTTTTATAGTGACATCTAATAACGGGCTGTCTAACCAGACCAACCGACCATTTCCCTGTAGCCTGCAAAAAATTACCACTGTCAGTCTGCAATACTCCTTTTTATAAGTAATCAAACGCATTAATCAAAATTATCAGAATTGCGGACTCTCCAGGCCATCATCAACAGCCTAACAAGTGCCCACTGCTAAGCAAAGCCTCTTCTCACACGGCGAAGGTTTGAGCATTAATTACCACGCTTGCTCAATGCGGGTTGGCGATTACAAACTTATAATTAGAAATTATAAGCCCAGGTTTCCTCACGATGTTTTCCTTTACCATTTGTCAGTGTTGTCTAGATAATTTTAGAAAGTACATATAACTCTGAAAAAGTCACATTGGTACTTGCCGTTGGCCATATCACCAACCCGTTCCTACTCCTGCACTTAGAGGCAAAGCTCGCTCGGGTCTGGTTCTGGTCACCCGTGCTCGCCGTCCCCTGCTTACGGTGGCCGGAGAACTCATCCCTTTTTTTATTTTTTGTGGGTGAAAAATCATCCAATGACTTCTCCCGACCCAGAGCCCCGGCAACCCGTTAGGCCTTACGTGGCATCGTATCGGACATCAACCCTACTGGGCCTCATTTTTGTGGTCTGATTGCTCTTTGACGCGCACGCAACGCGACGCGTCGTACGCACGGGAACTCAACCTAGCTGGAGAGTGTTCTACACTGTGAGAACCTCAGATCGGGCCTATCAGTGTATAAGATAAGTAAGTCAAAAAGGTTATATTTAAAAATTACTCATTGATTATAGTTTCCGTATGTATAATGACATTTTGAACATGTTTCTGATCTTTTGTAGAAATTATTCTACAAAGTTCTATTAAGAAAACGATCATATATCCTTCATCCAGTTCCTTCATCATCTCGTAGTAACGATGATTCGGAGGCTTGGTCGATGGAGTAAGAATTGAAACTGAAAAATATAAAATCATAATATTGAAAACCTCGGAATTTCATGTGAACCTTTTCGTTGTAACAAACTTACCTGGTGTTGTACCTTCTAAAGGATCTACAGGTAGATAGACAGGTCTACCATCAATTATTGTCGATTTAAAAGTACTAAATTCATTATATTCAGTTGACTCGTTATGGAGATGGCCGTAGAAATTTTTTATAGTAGAGTTACGTTGTTTTGTGGATAGGTACATTGGGTAGTACTTCTTTACTTTTCTGATATGTTTATGTCTTATTTTTTTGTTGTGTGTGTGCCTCTGTCTGTGCAGTCTAGGACGTCGTGTGAGGTTGTATCCGTGGTGTATTATTGGTTTATTTTGTACAAAGTGTTGGTACCATCGTGGTGTTATCTGTTGCGGTGCTAGAAACAATGTTTTGGTTAGTGGATTTGAAGTAGACCAATAATAAGGAAACCTTAATTTTCTTGCAACTGCCTTATTTGGCCGAGTGGTTACAAGTCATTGTCGGGTAAGAGGTCGCGGTTTCGATTCCCGAAAGGGGCAAGGTATTAATGGGTATAAAAGAATTCTCAGTAGTAGCATGGAATCTGAAATTGTCCCCGGTATATGGCAATAGGCTGACCCCCTATTACATAGGACTCATTACATGAATAGTAACAATGTACAGTGGCATTAACGTTTTTTGATACCGCATATCGAGCTTCCCTAAACATCATTATGAACTTTACTCATCCATTACTAGAGTTTGGAATAGATTTTGGCAGGGATAAGTTATGTCGTAAGTGCCGTAATGTGCACCACTGCCTACCCTGTATTTTATTTATTTTATTAGGTTATTGGCAAATATCGGTCGCTCTATATGAGAGACTGACATACAGAGTTCCATACCTAACAATGGTAATAAAACGCTTACTTGTAAAATCACTTGCTTTTATCTTCCATCTATTAGAAGACATGAAATTAGTCATCTCTTGCTGCCATAAGCTATGAAACTTATTTGTTGTTTTGTAAGACCACGACGCAAGAGGAGGAATTTTGGACTGAAGAGGATAAGATGTAAGATATGAAATAGCAAGTAGTGATAAAGGAGCTAAAGAAGCAGATGTTTTAGGTGGAGAAGAGGTTGTAGTGACTTCATAGATGATTCTAGAAATAGGTGTAAATAGATGTAATTTTTGATAAAAGGAAAGTTCCGGTATGAATGTAGCAATATTGTTGAACGTCTTTCGTCCAATACTAGTTGTACTCATAGAGGATGGAGTTGTACTCATAGAGGATGGAGTTGTACTCATAGATGATGAAGTACTTTTTATTGAGGTAAAACTTTCAACCTCTTCTTTTAAATTATATATCTGATTAAATTTTACTACGGCTAGTTTGTTAGAAGTAATATTTGGTGAAGTTCCTTTAGTAGGAGCTAATGTCGATGGACGAGTGGACTTAGTTTTTGAAGTAGTCAAAACAGATGATTTAGTTGCAACAGTTTTAGAAGTTGGTTTGCTAGGAGAGATAACTGAACGAAAAGTAAATTGTTCAGGCACTCGATGTGTTGAAAATGTCACTTTTTGAAATATTTTATCAAAGAAATTTCTTGGAATACTAGGAGATGTAAACGTAGAAGCATGGCCGACCTGTTTAGGCTTTATTGTAACAGAACTTGGTTTAGTTGTAGAATTTATTTTAATTGTAGTTTTAGGTGTAGAGACAGATGTGGCAGAAGTACGTAAAACATTTTCAGTTAGTACAGGAATCGGGAACAAAGGTTTGCTGACGTAATTTGGAAATTTATGAAGTTTTAAAGTACTTTTAGTCTCAATAGATTTAGTCGTGAATAATCTAGCTCGAAGGTTCGGTATTTTTGGATCTTTCACTCCTTTGTCATTTCTCTCTGTTTCTTTCATACTCCTTAACGGTTTTTTATTTTTGTTTAATACTATTTTAAGGTCTCTGAAGAAGGCGTTCACCATCTTCATCCTCTCCTGGTGATTTTCCATAAGTTCTGTCTCGTTGAAGTTATCTGGAAGGAGGTTTTTGCGTTTGAACATTTTCGAAAAATGTTTAGTGCCTCAAAAAGTGTTCAGAGTTGCTGAATTTGAGTGTGGTACTTCTTAGTAATACAGTACAATACGTGTGACTAGGTGCGGAAGGTACTGAGAATAAAGTATGTATTTGTCGAAACTTTATTAAATAGGTTAAAAATCGGAATGATATAAAATAGTATGGTACCTGGTTTGTGTAAGTCATCACTATTAACTAGACTATAGTGTAATAATAAAGCTAACAATAATATTAGCCTAGTAGTCTTCATGTTTATGAATCCTTCATTCATCCATCATTTGAAAATTCGTTTAATTTCCACAAGAAATTTAACACTGTGTATAATCTTTAGGTATTTAAAATGGATTCTTAGTAGTCGATGAAGTTCACAAAAATATTGAGTTTATTTATGTTATCTTTAATGTTAATACAGACACTTTTTGATCAATGTGAAATTGCACGAGTCATGACTGGTTTCATTTTTTCAATGTAAATTATTAGATTTTCATAAAAGAGAACACAAAACAAGAAATTCTTGAAACTTTTAACATTGAGTTTAAAATCAGTAACAATTCCAATGTTTATTGTCAATAAAATAGTTGTAATAATTTTATTGGATTACAAATATAAAAATAGTTGCTCGCGCAATGTATAACAAGTTTTATGGTACAATAAAATGCTAGTACTTTTTATATTAAAATTAAAATGTTCGCTTGTGTTCTGCTGGTCACCATATTCGGTATTTATTTTATTTATAATAAGATTTACATTACATTCAGTTTCTTACAAATATCACTTGTTTATTGTATAGCATATATTTCTCGATCATTTGCTTCGAAACTCTTAAATCTAAAACTTGAATTTGACATCTGTATAGAGAAGTGATTGTATTGGATCCCTACACGTCTGCAATTTGACAATAACACATTTTGGTAACGAGAATGAAAGCCGAACGGATATAGATTCTGTGAAGTCAAAATTAAAATTCTTCTAACTTTATCACATTCTCTTAAGTAGATATTCCAAGAAAATTACGTTGAATCTTCGATAGAAAACTGATGGAAGTAAATCTTCTACTAAAGTTGGCTGTTACAAACGTGTGAACTGTCACGTCAAGAGAATGTGACAATGCCGCACAACTTGCATAAATGTGCGCGAGAGATCTGATACAAATGTCTTATGATAGTTCACACATTTGTAACGGTCCAACTATTACGTCCATTAACCATGGCGTTAAAACTACCAGAATTCCAAGCCAGTTAAAATTAAAATGAACGAATAATTTATTCAAACTTTGTACGGGTTTAGTTTGCCCGTACACTACCGTTAGTTGGTTTCAGTTGGTTGAGTTGATTGTTGAGTGTGGTGATGAATGAATACTCTTCACTTGGTTATATAGAAGGTTTATTATTCACCAGTTACAGTTTAGTAATAGTTTTAATGATTCTCACAGATACGCTTGTGTTGCGTTGGCAGTTGTACACACACTGAAGACCGTTTTAATAATTGTTACGAACTAAGTGAAACGACCGATATGCTTACTTAGCTTGATGTCGCGACACGAATGTACGTAAACCGTACATGTTCCTAACCCGAGAGAAAGAACAGGCTCAGCTATGAGAATCATCAGTACAAAAGTAAAAAATGGAACAAAAAATAGTTAAAGTATAAAACACCGTATAAAAAAATATAAAAAGTATAAATGTAAACATAAAAACCGATAAAATCAGAAATGAAATTCAATATCCTTCGATGGGACCTTGGTTTTCAACGCTGGCTTCGATAGTGGGCGCTCCATCATCGAACGCGATCTGAAGAACCTGCCGACCTTTGTTGATGGTCCGTAGGATTGACTTTCAAGATCTTTGCTCTTGTTCGTAATTTCCTTCTTAGGTGTCGTAGATTTCTTTTTGGTACAATAGCCACGTTTCTTGACTATCCATACGGCTATGCTGACGACCACTACCATCAGTAGCAAGTAGGTAATGGTATAATGATGGATGTCATGAGTAGAAAGTGACGCTGGAAGTTGTTCTTTGCGTTGTAAGTATCTTAACTGGTCTTGAACTATGGCAAAGCCTTCTTCATGATTCATCTTCAACATTGGCGTAGAATGTGGTTTTACTATGCCATTTATTGTTTCATCTAGTGACGGGATTTGTATGTTATAATTCAGCCTTGCGTTACTGTTGTAGTCATTGTGAGAATGAATTATCAGATCCTTGGTTTGCAGAAGACATCCTTGTTTCAGCGTCACAATGGATGACTCGCTGATGACGTGCGATTTGACGTCACCGTTGCATATAGTGCGCACCGTGTATGTGTCACAAGTGACGGCCAGCCATGTGTTTATGTTATGTAATTCGATCCAGGCAGTATCACATTCGGTGCTCCTTGAGTTGCATGGTGAGGTCGTTTGATGACCTAGGAGTTTAGCTTCACACGGTGCATTTGTGTTTTGTAGGTTGTAAATTGGCAAGTTCAATATGCAGACGAAGTTATCTACACTGCGTTGTGTGCAGTGATTTAGTTCTTTATCATTTAGAGTGACGTAGGTATTTTTCGCAATATTAATTGCAATATATTGAGATGACACTACGACAACAGCCATTTCGTCAGGATTTTGTAGGTTCTTTAGAGGCAGAGGGAAGATTTGGTATACCTCAAAGTCTTCGTCACTTGCCAAAGGAATATGGAGTTCGTACATGAAATAACTGCAGGTTACTCTGGCTTTCACGTGAATTAATTTGTAGATATCCTTAATGTCGTCTTGAATGTTGTCTACGGGTAACGTTAGAGTTTTTGGCAACTTTCCTGATATACTATTCAACTGGTGGATTAAGTTTACTGGTGTGACTAAATGCACATCCATCTTTCCTTTATAAATATCGACAAATGTGTTAAAGAGTGTTTCTTGAATATTCTTCAAACTATTCAGTAGAAGATGAGCAGTGAGGGATGCTGAACTGAAGAAGCTGGTTGCCATGGCTGTCTCGAAATCTGATACGATCCTTACCACTTGTATATTAGTTTCATTCATGAAGTTGTTTATAAGAGTGAACTGCTGATTCAAGTTTTCTGCATTCCTTTTCAATATATCGTTTTCAATTTCAATAATGGAAGTTTGATTTTGAATGAGTTGTAAAAGATAGTCTTCATTTTTTTGAATAGCTTGAATATCCATATGATACTGGTCTGCAAACCTCTGATCTAGGACACCAAATAAACTGTTTGCGTATCCCACGCCGTCTATCAGACCACGTTTCTTTCGGCTAGAAAGTTGTTTGTGTGGCGCGAGTAATATGTTGTTATAATATTTAAGAAGTTCCATTTCGTGTGATAGCTGTTGAATAGTTGTTTTACAGTACTTGGGGTCCAAGCTTTTGCACAGGTTCATGACGTTTTCATAGTAATTTTCAAATTTTTGTACTCCGCTCCAATATGTTGACAAGTTATAATACATGAGCAGCCTCCATTCGTCGTGAATCAGCTGTAGTTTTCCGACCTTATCGTAGTATATGGGGCGGTCAGTACCCAGGCTCGTGATTTGAGTGCTTGATGTTCCATTTGTAACGTTGCCACTTATTCCAACCACAATGGTTAGTAGTAGAAAAGTGGTAATCATCGTAAAAAATGTTTTCTTTCCGGTTCTGCGTGTTGTCTGTCTGGGTCTTGTTTCCGGTGTATAGGTGTTTTCGCAACAGTCGTGATTTGTGTTGATAGTGGCAGTTTCAATCGGTAACAACGATAATTTCGTAATGGGTCGTTTTAATGTGGTATTTTGCGTTTTTATAGTTGCGACACGCACGTGACCGTCACTGCCAGGGTGAACTTCGATCACCCGGCCTAGCGCCCACTTTCCTGGTGGAAGATTGTTTTCCTTTATCAAGACGACGTCATCATTTTTAATGTTAGGAGTGGATTTCAACCATTTGCTGCGTGCTTGTAGTGATGTTAAATAGTCAGCTGACCAGTGCTTCCAAAATTGATGGAACATATTTTCCGTCAATTGCCATCTTTTACGTAAATCTAAGTTTCGGTCATCCACATAACTTGATAGTGGCAGAGTTAAAGTAGGGCTGCCGGTTAGGAAATGTCCCGGCGTCAGATAGTTATAAAACTCGTCTGGCTCCTCTGTGAGTGGACAAAGGGGCCGTGAGTTTAGACAGGCCTCCACCTTAGTTAGTAGCGATGAAAGCTCTTCAAATGTGAGTTTTTGTTCTCCTAGAACACGGCGTAGATGGTGTTTCATAGAGCGGACTGCAGCTTCCCACAGTCCTCCGGCTGTAGGCCAAGCGGGCGCGTTGAAATGCCACTCTATTTTCATTCTGCTGAGTTCATCAAAAAAATCACAGGACAATTCGATTTTAAAAAGTTCGTACTCATTGTTTAGCATTTTTGAAGCTCCAATAAAGTTTGTGCCACAATCTGAATATATGTGGCTCGGTGTGCCACGTCTGGAACACATTCTTTGGAGCGCATTCAGAAACGTTTCCGTGCTCAAATCTGACACCAGTTCAATGTGAACGGCCTTTGTCGCTAAACAAACGAAGATCGCAATATAACCTTTGGATGTTTTCACGCCCCTTCCTTTATTCAGTTTGATGTCTACGTGACCCGTGAAATCCACCCCCGTGTGAGTGAAGGGACGGGACGGTGTCACTCTTTGCTGTGGAAGATCGGCCATCAGCTGATAGTTCTCCTTGCTTCTAAATCGGTGACATCGTATGCACCGACGTAGTTGAGATTTTACTGCTCTATTTCCCCCTATTATCCAGTATTGTTGGCGGATGTAGGACAACGTCAGCCGAGCCCCACCATGTAAAGTTGCAAGATGGGCTTCATGTATTATTAGTTCAGTTAGTCTGCTATTTCTCGGTACAATAGCAGGATTTTTCATTCCAGCAGGTAAAGTACTTTTGTTAAGACGCCCACCTACGCGTATTATTCCCTTTTCATCCAGATAGGGGTTTAGTTTGCATATGTTACTTTTGAGATTTACACTCTCCTTTTTGCATAATAAATCATAATCTTTATTAAATGCTAATTGTTGAATAGTTCTTATTATGATATTATTTGCGTAATTAAGTTCGCTTGTTGTTAGGTAATTAAGTGGCACCAGGTGGTCGGTGTTGAATTTCATTATTGTTGTGGTGTTTCTAAGTGCATTTATCTTGAATCGCAAAATCCATGCGACGACTCTAATTACTCGTGTCAATGAGCTGCAATTGTTTAATAAGTTATTTATTACATTATTTGTTTGCTGTAGGG